CCTTAACACACTTCAGGAGGAGATACTTAATAATTATGGGCTTTAAAGTTTCTGCTTACGGGCTTTATATCAGCCCAACCAGCCGTCCCGGCTGATGCGCCCTTTTGCAGACAATGCAGCAGCCCCTGCTCCCGCCTAAACGAGGAAAAAGCGGCTCATTAATTCAGCTGGCGGGACCCCAGAGTTGCCCACAGCCGCCCCGGTGAGGGGACGGCCATCCCACCGCTGGCCACAGGGCTGTCCCCCTCCCCACCGCCCATCCCTGTAACTGCGGCATCCCTGTGGACCGGGGTGGACACTGGCATTTGCTGACCCCCCTGGGCCACTTCCAGCTGGGTACGACATCACTAACAGTCCTTAAAATCTGCAGGTTACAAGTAAGTCGCTTCTGGTTTGTTGTCAAGTCATTGGAAAAGTAATTCTTTAATGCCGCGTGGGTCTGCAATCTCACTAATTACGGGCAACGGCGATTTGCTTAACAAAGCTGCATGTTGTTTTTCAGATCGCACTGTTTTACCTGTGTGTGTTAGCATGAATGTGGTTGGACCTCTTTGGTGGCTGTCAGTCTCCCAAACAGAAAAACTGCAACTGAAGTTGTTTCCCTTTTTTTAGTAAAACAGTTTGATATTTTTTTTTCCTCTTGTATGGTAAACACGTCAGAGTACAGAGGGCTCCCCCAGGATCCCTCAAACTGAGCGGAGAATTTCACTCTTTGACCAAATTGGATGACTGGGGGGAGCGGGAGCATAGTGCAGACAAAGTTCCTGAAACTGTGTTATTTTTATTGCATAATCAACCAGTACCCAAAAAGACAAAAAAAACCCCTGCTGCCTCCGTTTGTGCCCTCGTGCTCAATTCCTGTCCTGGTCCTGTCCCTCCCGTGGTCACGCCAGGGACTTGACAATCCCTTCGGATCAATTCTGGTACCAAACACGGAATGTTACTGCTCTGCTAAGAGCTACATCAATTTAAACTGCCGTCTCTCACCACTTACAACACCTCTTATTTCCATTTTTCACCTAAAGAAAAAGGCCTGTTTGTTCTTGAAAACTTGGGCACTTTGGCCTCAGCAACATCCCGATTTTTCAAGTAACAGGATACGAGGTACACGCCGGGGTATCCGGATTTGTCTGCACTCACGCTTCTCCAAAGAACGATTTTGTATTTGACTTGCAGATTGGCAGCCTCTTAATTTCCCCAATAACTGCAAAGAATCCCGTAGCCTTTTTTACATATATATTTATTTAACACCGTCCATTTACTAACCCTGGTTTAAAAATAGAGAAGGGTAAACCCAAAGCTTATTTTTGCAACTGGGGGAATGAGAAGATTATGGTCTTGGAAAGGTAACTGTAGGGTTCAGCACACCGAGTCATTGGTGACCAGAGCAGCTCTCAGAAATACCTATTCATGCTGGCAACACAGTCTTTCAAGTCCTTTGATAATTTCTTGCCAAAATTAATAATCATCTGTTCCCATGTATAGAGCACTGATGAACTTAACAATTGTACAATTTTAGGGACCTTTGATTGCAACGGCTTTTACAAATGGATACCATTGAAACGTTACACATGGTTGGTTGCCATCTCACTTGGAGGTATTACAGTATATACCATTTGTACTTTGTGCTAAACTACCATCTCCCCTATATTTACTTTAAGTGAACAATTTTTCATCTTCATTTTGTCTTTCCTTGGCCTTTAATCATTCTTTTCTGTGATTTACGTTATTCAAATCAATCTCACGGGTTGGAAACTGGAAGGCAGATCGGGAGCTAAACCCCCAAAAAGTCATGTTTTCATATTCATGACACTTCGTGCAATAATTTGGAGAGTCAAAAACCCCGCAGAAAACCCAGCGATCCCAGAACCCTGTGGGGAAACGACCGAGGGCCAGCTGACAGCATCCCGATGGGGGTTATAGATCCGCTGCCAGTGCACTGGTCTAAAAATAGACGAGCCCCACTGCTTTATTACAGAGAAGCCATCATTCTTAATTAAGTGCTGTACCAAATATTACAGCTAAAAGATAACATTGTAACTAGTAACCATAGAGCAATTATCAAGATTAAAAAAAAATTAAACCTAAGCAAATTAAATTAAAGACATTACCTGAGTAATGCATCCTTGGATCGCTGCCAGTTTCCTACCCTTTGAACTAAGCTCAAGTTAATTAAATGTTTAAATTTTTTTATTTTATTTTTTTTGGCCTTTGGCATATTCACCTTTGCAAACAAATATTCTTACACCGAGAATAGAGTAGATTAGAAAAGTAAGTCAATGAAAAACAGATGTTGCCCCCATTAAATGGCACAGGCTTACCTCTAGAGCTCTTAGTCCATGCAGAGAAATGTAATGGATGTGACAGGCTTTATTTCTCTGCCTTTTGCCCAGCACTACCTGATCAATGTCACATGTTTTATGTTCAAAATCGATGTATGAAATTAGAATTATAGTTAGTCAAGGGACTGGGAACTGTGGAAAACGTTTGGAGGCTTTAAATTATATAAAAATGGATTTTTACCTAAATACTAGTGGATAAAGGGGTTTTCTATTTACCCTTCATCTACCCTCATACACCCAAGATTACCTGAAATTGTTCCGTCAATTGATTTGCTCCACCAAGTAGTATTTTTTATGGAAAAGAAAAAAGTGGCATAAGCACTCTTGCTTTAATCCCAGTTATTATTTGCACGTATCAGTGTACGTTCACAGATCAATTTGTCAGAATCCTTCATGTTTTCTGGGCCGTCAGCCTTTGTACTAACGAGGTGGTACACAACGCCGGCTGGAGACCTAAGCAGAACATCATAATTCACGCTAATAACGCTGCAATGAAGGCAGCGTTCATCAGATTAATGTACTGTAATCATTTTACGCTTACCACAACACATCAAACTGTAACCATCATTTACTGGCCAGTATTAAAACTCAAACCATTAATGACTTAAAAACAGAAAGTGCTTTTAATGTTGCTCATTACTAATTAAAATAGATTTTGAGAGGAGGAAATGAGCCTTATTATTAATTCCTCAAGGACCACTGAGTTTGAAATTTTTATTGCGGCGGCGCATCCCGAGGCGTCTGGTCCCTCGCCCGCCCCGGCTGCCCCCGCTCCCTGGGGCAGGATGCGGCCGTAGAGGATGAATTCGGCTGAGCTGCGGGTCCCCGGAGCAGGGACCGGCCGTTCCCGCAGACCTGCGGGGTGCTGGTGGGACCTCACCCTGGGCACAGCCATTTGGGGATGGGTTTTGGAGGTCACCCCCAAAAGTCTGTGACCAGGGTGCATTCCTTGCTGCAGCCAGCCCTGCGAGCGGCTGCCTGCGGAACCAGTCCCCTAATACTTATTTCCATCTCAACATTAAGCACCGGCAGGAACAGAGCATTAGAAGCTGAAGCCTCCGTTATAAAATAAATCATCACCGCTGCGGTGTGCCTGTGTAAAAGTTGTTACCTTTCAAGTACTTCAGAAAAAATTCATTTTACCAAAGGCTTGTAAATTCCTGGCGTAGCAGATGCCTGAGGAACAGTTTTTGTCCTTCCGATATATCAAGTTGCATTTTATCGTTCCTAAACCAGACTAGCACACAGCTAACCCCAGCCTGCCTGGGAAGGTGCTGCCTGCCTGAAGTCCAGGCTTAGCTGGCAGGCTGCTTTCCACGGGGATGGAGCTGGAAAGTGAGAGCAGTAAATGCGTTAAATACACTCTCCCACGGCAGCGGTCCCGGGAACGCCTCTGCATTTCAGCCGGGTCGCTCCGGATTCACCCTTGGTGTGGATCAGAGCACGCTGCGGCTTTGCAAAGCGTTTTGCAAACACTTGGGGGGGTTTGTTAAAAATCCCGGTTGACCTCAATTAACTCTCGCTCTCCTCCGTGTCCTGTTTCTGCCGCCTCCTCCCTGCAGAGTCTCTCTGGATGTCCGGGCAAGACGGGGCGAAGTTTCTGAACGGGCCCATGTTTGGGTGATCTCATCAGACTTTGAGCACTACATCATCACCGATAACGCAAACAAACTGGAGGTGGCACTCGACGGACTTAGGTTGTTTAAAATCTCTCTCATCATCTCATGAATCTGCTGTACTATAAAAACAACAGCTTTTAAAAGTATGTATATAAAATCCATTTCTTGTTCGTTTTATTTTCTTGATGGGTTCCCCCCCCCCTCTTTTTAAACCTCTCCAAACCACATTTTTTCGTAGCATTTTGACATAGTCTTGTAGCCACGTAGTTCTAATTCTTTGTGTATCTAGCAAGAGCCTAACCATAGTGTAACTGTTTATATTAAGGGGTTTCTTTCGTTTTTCTTTCCCCCCCTCCCCTCCTTCTCCCTTCTGTTTTACGTAGTCGTTGTTGCTTAAAGGATGCTGAGATGGTGACAGGAGTCTCAGCCGCTGGGCCTCGGCCCCCGCCGAGGGTGGCGGGGGGAGCAGAGCCGGCGGCGGGCACGGTTTCAGGGTGGCCTTGCAGGGCGCGGGGGGCGCGGGTGAGCAGCAGGTTCTCTAGCCCTTCTTTTCGTTTGTGGCGTCTTCGTTAACCTAATTCTATCTATTTTCGGCAATAAGGCAAGGACTACAAACTTTTTGTGCGTCCTTTTTCTATAAGTGCTTTTTTTTGTTGAAAGAGGTGATATAAGGTTTTTTGAAATTGTGAATTCTGAAAAAAAAAAAATACTGTAAATACAATTCCATT